GGTTTATGAGGTGGTTATGGCAGCTGCCCATGCAGTTATGACACCATATACAACGAGGAAAAGGCAGTGCATTAAAATTATTATCATATAGCCTATCCAAACTGTCAATCAACACAATTCCTGTTTGAAATACAACAGCTTTAATATATATACATACATAAAAATACATTCGAATATATTATACGCTTTAAAACAAATATGGATAATTTCATTTAATGCAAATTGTAGTTTAAATGAAGCTAAACAAAAAAGTTTATTGGACAGAAAAATGCTACAAAGGTTTACAGAAAGAGTCGCATGCCCCTATACCCTATAACATAATGGTATCAGCCATAACACGACATGTGCTGTTATTCCGCCATAACACCACATGTGCTGTTATCGGGAAATAACAGCACGGGTATCCGGGCCTCTGATTGGTCCACGCCGTCCGGCTATATGATAATGATAGTTCTAGTCCTGGAAATGAGAGGTAGAAGTGCATTGCCACAAGCTCGATGAAAGAGCCCATTTAGCACATGACATACCCGTTCGGATGCCACTCCAGAGTATAACATATACATGTACCCCCATGCTATAACATTATGTAGATTGGTTGGCATCAAGACAGAATTTGACAGCTCATCTTGTTAATCTTTTATGCTTTACTTTACTTTACTTTACAGACATCCCGGCCAACAGAATACTGCATGAACCGCTGCGCGTGACGAAAGAGTCGACGTTACAGATGCTACAGCACCAGGGTCTGGACAACAACCGCTGGCTTGGATAGCTCATATTGCTGTCCTGTAACTTTCTGGAACATACAAGTTAAAATATTTGTATACACGGGATTTTGTACACACAACATACAATATGCGTAAAGAAGCATAACGTAATACGTCGTATTTACAACCGCAAAACTCATTCGTAATCAGATCTGTTTTTCAGTAGCCCTGAATTGATTTTAAAGAGGGTCTGCATGGGGGGGTCCTGGCAACGGTTAACGGTAAATTCAGCAGGGCCGATAACGCTTAACGGTAAATTCAGGACGGTCGGCAACGCTTAACGGTAAATTGACAGGCTTTTTTTCGAGCTGCACTGGATTTGGTATCTCGCTTTGTGAGAAAAGGTGATCACTGACAAAATTACGTATACCTTACATGTAATGAAGCATGTGTTCCCTGTGTTCCCCACCTGCCCTGGTCCCCGAGTGCGTCCACAAATAAAGGGGTGTCCGAGTCGACGTCGGCCAGCTTGCATTTTTTCAGTCTGCCCAGTTTTACCGATGGATTTTGAAAAGGGGAGCGCCGAAGGCGCTCGTAATCTAAGGGGGTCCGGGGAATGCTCCCCCGGGAAATTTAGGATTTCTAAGCCTTCAAAAACGCAATTTCCCGCATTTTGAGAGGAAAATCATGGTGTTGGGAGTGTTTGTCGGTCCTTCTGATGTTTTCATATTTTACTCAAGATTTTTGTTGATTTGCCTGTCAAGGTTGACGGATTCCTTTTAAAAAATTCTGTAACTCTCCGCAAACTTTCGGAAATTGACGGGAAAGCTGGTTCTGGCTAGAGCCGAAGGGACCGAGCGCAGAAGCGCGAGCAATGTAGGGGGGTCCGGGGGCATTCTCCCCGGGAAATTTTGTATTTTTAAACCTTCAATGACGCATTTTCCTGCACTATAAAAGGCAAAATTAGGCGTAACGAAGAATTATTCATTAACGCTTAACGCTGAATTTAGGATGACAAATAACGTTTTACGTTGAATTAAAACGACCAATAACGCTTCACGATGAATATATCGATAACGCTTAACGTTGAATTAGAGCGGGCCGGCAACGATTAACGGTAAATTAAGATAGCCCATAACGGTTAACGAAAAAGGGCATGCAGACCCTCTTTAAACTTTGCTGAAATATCTGCCTAGTGCCCATCCGTACTTCGTAAATTTTGGCTAAATATCTTTTTGCTGTATTGAAAGAGACGAGATAGACTCCTGTCGACATGAACAATAACAACAAAATAGTCGGAGTAAATTTGAAATTTTCTGTGCCAAAATGGTTTTAATGGACAGAAATTGTCTGTATTTTCCTATATGTATGATCTTGGATTATCATCTGTATTATTGTTCGTCTCGTATCACAGCATTCCACTTAATATCACTCCATTTTAAGGGACGATGCATAATGTTTTTTTTTTAGTCAAGAGCAAAGATTACAATTATTATAGTAAGTTAGAGTTACTGGTAACTAGCTACAGCTGGTATCACTAGTTAGTAAAGATCTACATTCATGATATATGCAAGTTGACAGACTGAAGGCAATGAAGTGTATATTTGGTTAAACATTACGCGGATGTCTGGATACTTCTCCGTATGTAGATAATGCAATAAAGGTATTCGTTTTACAATCAAGAACGTAGCCCTTGGACTCTAAAATGTGTCTTCTTATCAACTTGTGGATAAATACCTTATCAATTTGTGGATAAATACCTGTTCAACTATACATTCCGTCAGTCACTGACGAAAAGCAGTGGATCCGGATGCTACTTAAATCGTCTGACAGTCTACAAAATCTATCCAGTTGCTTGAGTAACTGTCGTCCTGCGTAATACTTACGAGTAAAGTAATATGCATGTATCAAAGTATGGAATTTCACCAACAGTTCTGGGATGAATGAACGTCAGCAGACACGTGGTTACCGCCGTGCCAGGGCCAGCATAAGTAAACATCACGTACAAGATCGCACCTGTAAGGTTCCCACCTCTCCGTACCTTACATGGGCGAACATTTCACCATATGCAGACCGAACCCAACGACAACCATGCTGAACTTTCTTGTTCTAGTACTTGTTGTGCTGCAAATGAACGCCCCATCTATGGGTACGTACTTACATGTAGTCTAGTCTACAACGTTTCCAAGCTGAATCTATATCGTGTTGCTGGTGAACATGCACTAGTACTGTTAGATCCATATCAGAAACATAATCATGTATTACCATCAATATAACGTCAGTCAAAATCTATCCAGCTGCTTGAGTATCAATTTTCTTGTAGTTAATATTATACAGTTTGCAATTTAATCTTGTATATATCATAACTTCAGCAGTGTCAACTAATTTACTAAATATGCCTTTCACGGTGGCGTGAAACCCCCCAATCATGGGTATGGCACCCAACACATTTGTACCAAACGTTTACTATTTTTTTTCGCGTCACTTTTGCTTTTCGTCCCATTGTCCGTCTGTCCAAATAAGGTCAACTGTGCGGCGGCACCTTGACCAGCTCAGGGGGCGAAGTGACGTCACACGGCTTCCCTAACTTCTACTTGCATAACCAGGTAGGTTCTCAGTTTTGCCTGAGGTAATAAAGCTCCTTTCAAAAGAACAGTCCTGTAGCAAAAGAAAAAAGACAACACTAAGAAATGAATATGGGTTTTCGTTTGATATTTGGTTAACGTTGCATCAGCATTTTGCCTGTTGCAGACGGTATCTTTATTTGAAACAATACTTGAAACCTATAGACGGAATGTCATTCATAAATACACGAATGCGACCTTGTAAGAGACGTTCTGCCGTGCCATGTCTGCCATACACAATAGGCCGACAGTACATTATGGTATAGGTTCTGCCGACGTGCTCCCAAAGAAGTATATCGTCCTACCGTATCGTTCCCAGGACTGTACCTGGGTGATCGAGGCACGAGGTGGCCGCGCCAGCGTCACGTTCCTGGACTTCGAGCTGGAGCAGCCGGCAGGGGGCGCTTTTGGCACATGTCGTTACGACTACGTGGAGATTCTCTCCTCTGGGGAGTCCATAGGTAGGGGTTAACGACCAACGTGCTAGACGTAATAACGTGTATTTACCTTCGAATTTCGCCAAGAGGGTATGTTTTCGGTAGCGTACGTTCGTGTTCGTGTGTGTGTCTGTAAACACTATGACTGGAGAAGGATCGGATGGATTGTCTTGATATTTGGAAGGTGTGTATTGGCTTGGTTGCATTCTGGTTTATTCCGCCTCTCGTGTGAAGGGGCCGGGTATTGGTCAAACGTCAAGCGACGAAAACGTACGTTTGTAATGCAGGTACATACTGTGGGAACATGAACCCAGGCTCGGCCAGTTCGGACGACAGGATCGAGGTCCGGTTCGTCAGTGACGCCACCTTCGACGCCAGAGGATTCCGCTTCACCTACAAGGTGCAGGGAGCGATAGAAGAGCCCTCGTGCGGAGGAATCCTGAACGACACATCTGGGGTCGTGACGTCGCCAGGGTAACGCAATATGCGCTGTGTTTACATGAATAAAGCCTCGGTCGGTGTTTCTAACTGTTGCCACCTAGCTGCACATGTTTACAATACGAATTGACTTCAATAATATGTTAGTCCTGTAACCTGAGATGAGCAAATGGTTTGCATTTCTGTTAATTTGTTGAATCGACAGGAGAATCCATTATTAATCCTGCAATAATCCTGCATCATTATTCATATCAACTACACAGCGGTGAAAAAAGGGAGAAAAATTACAGGCTATTTTGATGGATTTGATGATTCAATTTCAAGCTAAAGAGATAGAAGCGACTGTTCAAAGCAGTAGGCAGAAGATGATTTTCATAGTTCCGAAAAAGAACAACAGAAGAATATACTGTTTAATATGCTAATAAATAGACATCGAACATTGCTAATCAAGACTATGTTAAACGTTGAATTAGTACAAAGGCTTATCAGCATAAGCCGTATTGGGTTTCCCCCCCTCATGTACATGTTGGAGTGCAAAGAAGTAAACAAAAGAAAAATGAACGTTGATGAAATACCCGCAGGTATCCCGGGGAGTACGATAACTTCCTGGACTGTACCTGGACCCTGCCGGCCACAGGTGTTCCCGTCACCGTCACCTTCACAGACTTCCAGACGGAGACGTCCTTCACCGGGCTCACCACCTGTCTGTACGACTGGGTGGACATGTACGAGGACGGGACGCAACTGGGTATGGAGTTTTAAAAACCATAATGATGCTTATCATTTAAATGAAAACATCTAGAAGATTTCACATTTGGTTTAATATACATGGCTTTCATTCATTCATTCATTCATTCATTCAATCATTCATTCATTCATAGCAACTAGCTGGTGTTACCAATACAATAGAGCAATCCTCTAGCTTTAGATAAAAGGGCTTGATTTTAAGGGTAGATATAATTTTTAGCTGGAGTTCAAAGGTTCAATCGCCCGGTCTGTTTCGCCCTGCATGTGCAACAGGTCGCTGGTGTGGCACGGAGAAGCCGGATGACGTCACGAGCACGAAATCCCTGAGAATCCGGTTCCGGAGTGACGGCAGTGTGGGAGACCGGGGGTTCCGGTTTGTCTACGAGTACCGGGTGAGCGTCATTTACGTCATCCAACGTCATCAACACCTCCTGTTTTCTAGTGCAGCACAGTTAATAGTACTTTCTTTTGAGAAGTCATAGATAAGAATTCATTCGCATTTTGTATAAATAAATGTTGCATTCCAAAACGCGGTACATTCCAGTACAAAAACAGTACATGTAGATCTTGGACCTATGAAATAAGTGATTCAAAACTATAGACTGGTTTCCAAGTATCTGTGTTACTTATTATGTTAGCCTATGTG